ACTAAAAAAGCATGACATGACCAAGTGTCTCAGAAATTCATTTATATTTCAGCCTGCACTATTATCACTAAAAGATTTGTTTATGAAAAAACAAGAGGTTTAAGTTAGAGATTAATACCTATTCACAAGGAATTTCAGAGCTGACAGAGAACTGCACAAGCCAGAATTATGTGTACATATTAACACACTGAACATTCAGCTGTGTCAGAAGTGAAACGTTTTAACAGAACTAAAGTGTATTTATCAAAGGTGGATATCTTTAGAAATGTTTGTCGTAAGGTCATGTGAAAGATTTGTAATGATAGAGGCTTATCATATGAAAAGCTATTTATTTATCATTAATGGAGACATAAGGGTATTCTACACACAGTTTCATTTGAAATCAAGGTGAAGCCATGCCTATAACCACATTAGTTGCACAGAAAATGAACAAAAAAATAATAATAATACAGAACTGTACAGGGAAATACATAAATAGGAATTCTCTGGTAATTTGCCTCTTTTTAATGGGGATGATCGTGGCTTTGGACAACAGTCACTTTTAACCCGAGCTGCTGTTGCCTTTTGTTTTTTATGGTCCTTTTATGAGACTAACAATAGGACAAACATATCAGAGGTAGTCAAGGAACCGACTGTACTTATGCTGTTTAATTACAGAGGGTTCATTTCAACGGAGATTTTATCTGAGATAGCTTTAAAGTTTCGGTTTGTTTCTTTCTTTTTTAAGTATTATTCTTTTTCTTGACTGACCACGAGGGAATTTCAATTGTATTGTGTAAATAACTTTGATTCTTTTGTTTCCCTTTGACAAGAATTTAAGAGTGAACTTGTCGCTCTGTGTTAAATAAATTCCGATTCTGTCCTTTTGATATTTTCTGATTTACAGGTCAAATGTCGCTGTCTGCTCAGCTTCGTCCAGGTTTTAACGGTCATGTAAATACAAAGATTTACTGAAACTTTTCAGACCTTTTGTATTTTTCTTTCACTCTTTCAACGGTAGCGTATGATTTCACATTGTCATGCATAACGTCTCGATTATTACATTTGAGAGTGATCTTAAACTGATTTACTAATATTAGATCTAATTTAAGTTTTCTTTCTCAGATTCTTTCTCAGTTTTGAATTCTATAAAGAGTCGTTTTTATTTCAGTCTACAGTTTTACACTGTGTATCTAATATCACCATGTTCAAAGAAATGTCAATAAAATAAAATGACATTAATGTCAAGTGTTTGAAGCTTGTTTCTGGATGTTTCGCAATATATAATCATGGCATTTGTGTTGTACATTCATACATACAGTTAAAGTCATAATTATTCGCCCCCCTTTGAATTTTGTTTTCTTTTTTAAATATTGCCCAAATGATGTTTACAGGTTTTTTTTCTGATTGCTTACACACATTTTCTGAAAGCATGTCTCATATTGTCAGAACTCTATGAGACTCTGGGCTCTATTTTGACGGTCCATGCACAGAACGCAAAACGCAGGGTGCAAATGCTTTCAGGGTGTGTCAGAACGCATTTTTGCTAACTTAAGGACGGGAAAATCCGCTTTGCGCCGTGGCGCATGGTCTAAAAGGGTTGAGTTTATTTTCTTAATGAGTTATAGGTGTATTTTGAGAATAAACCAATCAGAGTCTCATCTCCCATTACCTAAGAGCCAGCTGCGTCACGCCATAAGCGCATTTTGACGTAAAGTAAGTTCACTTTCGCTTTTGCTCTCGTGGATAGGGAAACCTTACCGCACAGACATCAATTAGCCTATAAAAAACTACTTTCGTTTGTTAAGCGCAAAGATTTGTTTCAAAACTATTTCTAAATTCAGTTCTAATTTCCAGCAAACGAATAAATGAACAATAATTACAAAGTTACAAAGTTTGGTTATTTCCAAATACACCTGCTGTGCCCCAAATGGTCTAAAACCTGACAGGTGGACAAATCTAAGCTTGTTTTAAATAAACAAATATGGATATAATAAATAATACTGCTAATAATAATAACATTATACAAAAGCAAATTGAATGAACTGAAAAAGCCTCCCAAGATGAAGAAAGTAAGGCAGTGGTTTTTAAATTCATGTAGGCTAGAAATGAATTTGTTTAGTAATATTTTAATCATTTATATTTATATCCTTTTATTTATAGCCATTTATTTCAAGCTTCCAATAGTGCATAAATCCATTGCAAAACCAACCCATGCAATGTAAGTCTCATGAAGTATATTGATGTTTTTGTAACAAAAATGGTTCTTATTTTGAATGATAAACTCAAGTCACTGACCTCTGATGCATGAGGCAAGACACATCCAAATCAGAATTTCTGGGAATAAGAACCACTTACCGCACAGTAGGCTATATTTAGCACAGAAAACGAAAACTAGTTGGCTATTTATTACCGTACATACATAAACAAAATCGTCACACTGCTCTCAAAAGACAATTTATTGAGACATTACATCCTACATTGTCTTCATCAGGTCAAGCAATACAAGAGAGAAGTGACGTGGGGAAAAAGGTTTCAAACCAAATTTCAAAACTTTGTTAATTTTTGTGTATGTCACTTCATTTATTATTTGGTTAATTACAGTTATTACTGTTTTCAGGTGAGATTTCTAAGGCTGCGTTCACACTGCAGGCAAACAAGGCTCAAATCATAATTTTTTTGCCCACATGTGACTCAGATCTGTTTTTGTGTTGACAGTGTGAACAGCTCAAACCACATGGAATCTGATATTTTCAATTCAGATGTGTGCCACTTTCAAATGTGCTATTAAATCTGATGTTTTGCGATGTGACGCAGTGTGAACGGGTATGTAGGATTTCATGTGACTTTTACATAATCATGCATCATCATTCTGTGCTGCAAACATCATCTACTCCTCAGCAGCATCAGAATAGCACACAGGGCTAATACTTTAGCATAAACAGTTGTTCATTCGGCTTAGTCCCTTTATTAATCCGGGGTCGCCACAGCACAATGAACCGCCAACTTATCCAGCACGTTTTTACGCAGCAGATGCTCTTCCAGCGGCAACCCATCTCTGGGAAACATCCACACACACACACACACTACGGACAATTTAGCCTACCCAATTCACCTGTACCGCATGTCTTTGGACTGTGGGGGAAACCGGAGCACCCGGAGGAAACCCACGTGAACGCTGAGAGAACATGCAAACTCCACACAGAAAGGGCAACTGAGCTGAGGCTCGAACCAGCGACCCAGTGATCTTCTTGCTGTGAGGTGACAGCACTACCTTCTGCGCCACTGCTTCACCCCAAACGGTTGTTCATTTTGCTAAAAATATTCAACTCAAAACCGATGCTTGTTAACTAATCATTAACCATTAACCTTTTAAAAATATATATTGTTCAGTTAGATTTAACATAAAAAGTATGTCCATAAAAATTGCGTATATAAAATTAATAAACCACCTATACAAAAGCTATATTTCACTTAAATAATTAATACATTAACTGAACTGAATATGAAACACTGTGATATAAAACTGATATGAATATAAAAATGAACAATCATTAACCCTTGACGAGTCCACCACACTGGTGGTCAGAAAAATGCACACTGTGCTTGTCATAAACTACAAATGATCAGTGTTTTCAATTACAAGACACTTACTTCAGGGTTTAACTGGCGAAGTACACTTTAGTAGTAGCAGAACAACACTTTACAGTTCATAAAATACACCACGGTTATATGTGAAAATGGCAGTAATCATATTAAACCTAATCTGACAGCGTTTTTACTCACAACATACAATATCCATGTTGCAGTGTTTCCTCTAGGATTTTTTCAGCTGTGGCGGCAGGCCTTACACAGATCTACCAACTACCTTATAGCTTTATTTCAATGACAAATGTTGTGAGCTCAGTATTACCAGTTGAGATCGCTTTCATGTAATGCGAGAATGCGAATCTCTTGGCTTGCGCGCTGATTTCTTCTGCTCATGCACAAAACGTCTTGCACACCCCCTCAAATATACGCTGCTCAAGCGCAGATCTTCTTGTGCGCTCTCAAATAAACGCTGCTGAAGTGTGATTTAGTGCATTTATGTAACAAGTATGTCTCCAACATTTATTAGATTTGGTGGGAATATTTATAAATGTCTCCAATAGACCTACAGAGTGGCATTAATGCATCCTATAGTAAAGTGAAACGGCAATAAACTCCAGCAAGATAAAGTCATTGTATGCAGAGTCACAGACCTATATCTATAAATAAAGTATAATTATGGAAACTGTGTTCATCTTAACTGAAAACTACGTCGTGTTTGCTTGCATCACGCACCTGTCAGTCAGCAGCACCTCATGTCACCTTAAAGGGTTAAAAATGACGCACCGAACTACTACGATTACAGAAAAGTTTGCGCAGTTATAATTCCTTACCTTTAAATACGTTTTGGTGCGATTATAACTTGCTATTAAAAAAACAACAACAATGACTGAATGTTTTGAATGAGATGCAGTAATGTAGCCATGGCGGGATAAATTTTGTGTGTATGCAAAAACCATGTATTGTGTGCAAAATTTGTGCTGTCCGTAATTGTACTTTTGTGCATACAGGTCAATTGAAGACCATAATCTGTTCACCCTGTAAATCTGATATTGGCCACATTTATAACAACAGTGTGAACAGCTATGCAAAAAAAATCTGATGTGAGAAAAAGACAGATTTGAGCACTAAGCCTTGCAGTGTGAATGTAGCCTAAGGCTTTATCTATTAGCCAATTTCCACTGAGTGTTACGTTATTACGATTTGGTATGATTTTATGGCCATTTCTACTGTCAAAAGGTACCAAAAAGCGAACCGTACCATATCACTTTTTGGGTGCTTTTTCCAAAGGGTACCTAGCACAACAAAAGTGTACCAAATGATAGAGCAAGACGTGCAGCTGAATGCTATTGGTTTACACAGAAATGTCACAAGCATGCAACAAGCCAGGAAAATGAAAACAAAGGAAGCAACATTTTTAAATACACAGCCGAGACATTACACCGTACTAATATATACATATGATAATCAGTGGCGTAGAGCAAAATGCAATTGAAATGTTTTTCTTACAAAAACAAATTGATCTGCTTCATAAAACATGTATTAACCCAATAACAACATATGGGATAGTTTTACAATGGATTTATGCACCTTTGAAAGCTATCCAACACCATTATACAGCATGGAAGAGCCAGGATAACATTTACAACTACTCTGACACAGTTTGTCTGACAGAAGAAAGTCATATACACTGTGGAAAAAAGAAAAAACAATTTACTCATAGACTTTGTAAGACTTGTCGTAGCATTTATATACAACAACTGTCTGATGATTTTTTGCTAAATTTATAAATGTAGAGGATGGCTTGAGAGTGAGTAAATTATGGCAAAACTATTGCTTTAAATGCATAAACAACACCAAACCCATTTAAGCAGCATTGAAACTGCAACATCTCCACTTCGCCAGCGTCCCGCACTAAATTTGGCACTCACTCGAAGGGAAATTGTCCAAATGTCTTTTCTCTTCTGCAACATCTTCAGTACCAGTTAGTGCAGGATATCATGAAGCGCATGTCGTCTACCTTTCTGGTGCCCATTTGGCATTGGGGCAGGTCAGGGTGAGGATCCAGTCGGTCCTGGGGATCAGTAGTACCGGGTTCAGTTTGGACACTGGATGAAGATACTTCACCTTGGCTTGGCAGATTTCCTGTATCCCTCTGTCTCTGGTCAAGAGCAGCCATATTGGTGCTATGATTCGAGGCCATTTCTTAAATAAAACACAACAGATTAAATTTAGCTTAAAAAATTAGATACCACTTTAAAATGCTTAATTTTACCAGATTTACTTGTTATAGCTTTGCCTTTGAGTAAAATGTTTGTTTTATTATGTCTGGCAAGATTTTCTCCAATTTTCTAATAATTATATTGTAATTTAGAACAAAAAATAATTGAGCAAAATAGATTTTCTTTTCTTCTGATTGACTTCTATTGACTTCTTAACTTTCCGAAGTTAAACAATTAGTAATGTGTTGCTCAAAAATGAATAACAGGTCTAAAATATACAGTCCTTTTTGTTATTTTGACCAGCTTTAAGTATTTATTTTACACTTTTTATTTACATTTTTATAATTAGCTATGCATTTTAATTCAATAATTAAATAACAATTTATTTGAATTAATGACAATTTAACCTTGGTGTATTATCTAAAAATACCAAACCCCCAAACCAAAACCAAAAAGTACATTTTCCCATAAGGATAAAAGTTTTGAACAGTGAATAGAATACTATCGTTAATACATTGTTGAGCCTCACACCATAATGTAGTGGTGTATGTACAATACTAAAATAAATGTAAAGCAGCCTCCTTGTATTTATTGCAAAAAGTAAACTTTATCAACACCATCTTTTTTTTTTTTTGTTAAAAAATATTTGCTGGATAAAATCTGTGGATATTTATTTCGTTTACTGAGGTAAACTCGGTTTTATATTCGCATATTAAGACTTTGGTGTTTAATAAAATAGTGATGCAGAATGTTAAAAGACTTCAAAACAACATTACTCTATTTAATTAATTGTGAACAATGTTGTACTTTGACACTCAATGGCTGCTAATATTATTTCCCCCTTTAGTATAACGTAACTTTTCTGAAATTATATTAAAGTAAATGTCCAAATATGTAATATGAAACCAACTTTACCTGAACCTTTAATTGAATTTCTAATATGATAACGTTATATCTGTGGTAACAGCCACACTTTCCTCCAGCAGACAGCTATGCATTGAGGACGGAACAAAACCTACAGAAGCAGCAGCACTTAGAGAGCGTTTGTCAGCGTGACTGGGACAAAAACAGATCAATATTGTGTGTTAACGAGCCGAGACACGTCAGGACTTTACCGCACACCGGCTCCAGCCCCCGGAATCCAGCGTTTCACCGATTAGTTCGCGATGTTTCCAGGCAGAAAACGCAGGGTGGACGGCGAGGGTCACGGGCGCGCGCTGCTGCAGTGACGTTTTAGCTAACGCTCTGGAAGTGTCAACAAACGTGACGTCACGCCGAACTTCAATGCCGATTGGCTGAGAAATCCACATTGACAGGAGAGGCGTGTTTTGTTGCTATGCAGGTTTGTGGTTGGGGACAAAAACACGAGTTGTTGCTAGAAGGGATACAGCTGCAGCCGAAAATTAACGACAATTATTTACATAATTAATTAAATTATCCATTAATCGTGTTTTATTAACGTCTACCCCGACCCTCACAGTAATGTAAAACAGTAATTATAACGAGTAATATTTATATTATTTATTAAATTATCCATTAAATTGTGTTTTATTAACGTGTACCCTAAACCCAACCCTCACAGCAATGTCAAAATATTGGTTATTGTCGACAAAAATTATTGTATGCTATATTATATGCTATATTGAGGTGAGTATCCACAGCTGTATACCTTCTAGACTTTGCCCGGTGACAGGGCTGGCCAGTCTGAGTCAGCGTCTGTCTATAAATATATAAATGTGCTAATTTAAATAATAATAATAATAATAATTATTATAATATGTGTTTTTGTTTAATTACTTAATTTTAAAAAGTATTATGCTGTGGAATAGAATATTGTACAGCAAAAGTGACTAAAGGGATTAAGTATTTGTAGGGATTGTAAATATATGTTTTATTCTTTATTTTTGTTTGTTTATGTAGGGTAATTATTATAATTGTATATTTTTTCATCTTAGGTTACACTGTAATTAAAGTTATTGTAAAGCACTATCATTTTAAAAATGCATGTAATTAATAATAATTACTCTAATCGGGTTTATTCATTTCTTTATGTTATTTTTGTTTGCTGCGTAAATTAATAATTTAATATATTGTATTATTAATTATTATTATTTAGTTATAATAAAATTCAAAAACATTTTTAACAAAGATTAGAATATTAAATCATTTAAGATATTTTGGTATTAATTATTAAGTAAAAGGTTTGAGTAACGTTAATATTTATATATTTATCATATATTAACGAGGAACTCTGTCTTTAACATTTAAAACCCAAAACATTATTCTGACGTAATACTTATTTAGTTTTATTAGTTACTATTTATTTATTTTTTTGTTTGCAGATTAATTTAATAATGTGTTGTGTTGAAATATACTATCAGATCATACAATTTTATAATGGTATACTAATATTTTATTTATTCATTCATTTTCCTTCGGTTTAGTCTCTTTAGTCATCAGGGGTCGCCACAGTGGAATGAACCGCCAACTCATCCAGCATATGTTTTACACAGCGGATGCCCTTCCAAATGCATCCCCGGTCTGGGAAACACCTATACACATTCATTCACATTTCACACTCGTACATTATGACCAATTTACGTTAGTTAAAACTTTAAAGTTATTCAATTCACCTGTAACGCATGTCTTTAGACTGTGGGAGAAACGGGAACATCTGGAGGAAACCCACGCCAACACGGCGAGAAAATGCAAACTTCACACAGAAATGCCAACTGACCCAGCAGGGACTCGAACCAGCGACCTTCTTGCTGTGAGGCGACAGTGCTAACCACTGAGCCACCGTATCGCCCAGCAACATTGCTATTATAATAAAAAAACACGTTTGATGGTTTATTATATTTTATAATTATTACAAATAAAAAAAATTATAATACGGATACAAACATTTATTATTTAAAGATCAAGGCTCTAACGTGATACTTGAGAATCAAAACAAAGAAAGTAGTGTTTCCCGTGACAACAGGGGCTCACGTATGACGTACCACAACGCTTTGACGTTGCCACGTTGAGGAAGTGAGGTAAACTAAACACGTGGTAAACGGCTCGTCCACGCTTCTCCATAGTGACATTCGGTAAATATACAATTACTCTTACAATTAAGTTTAATTTTATTGTGTAATGACGTTTAGCTCATAATTTGTATTATTACCCGCGTCGTCATTCGAGGGTAGAGAATTGTTGGCGTTTAATGTCTAGAGAAGTTGAAGTAACTTCATTTAGCCGACTGCTAACCACCTCGACCAGTGGCTATTCAGTGAAAGTTACTTAAAACGCGTTAAACTCTGAAGTTTTGCTGAAAATTAGGTTAGTCTTGCTTCTCTAGACACGACATATTTTAAAATGTTGTCAAACGTTTGACTCAGTTACATAAAAATGTTCCTCTCACTCAATTTATAACGTTACCCGATAAGATGTTAGTGAAGTTTACCCTCTGTTGACTTGAGGTGAGGTTGGTTTTATATTCGCGCATTCATTAAGTGACAACCTTTGACACGCTTATTATATTGTTGACCGTGGTAGTTTGAATATTTAGTCTGAAACAACATGTAAATATGTCTTTAAAACAACATTAGCACTATTTAATTGACGGTGAACAGTGGTGTACTTTGATAATTATTGGCTGCTAATGTGATTTAACTATTTAAAATTAGCAAAGAATACTTAACTGAAATTATATAATCAAGGAGAACGTCCGAATATGTGAACATAAAAAAACAACCTAACCTTAATCTCTGTTGAGCCTAAACAAACTTTCACTTTTCATCAAATAACCGTTATTATTAGTTGTAATAAAGTGTTTCTGTGTTCAAAGTTTTTTTTTAACTATATAGCCCTAAAATATTGTTTTTCCACCAGATTCAGACAGCTTCCTCCAGATCAGCAGAATGGCAGTTCGTGCATCATTTGAAAAGAATAATGAAATTGGATGCTTTGCCAAGCTTACTAACACATACTGTTTGGTAGCAATTGGTGGTTCAGAAAATTTTTACAGGTAAATCTTAAATTGTATTTCTATAAAAAATCTATCTATCTATCTATCTATCTATCTATCTATCTATCTATCTATCTATCTATCTATCTATCTATCTATCTATACAGTTGAAGTCAAAATTATTAGTGCCCCTCTGTTTATTTTTCACACCAATGTCTGTATAACAGAGAGGTTTTTGCAACACATTTCTAATCATAATAGTTTTAATAACTCATTTCTAATAACTGTTTTTATTCTATCTTTGCCATGATAACAGTACATAATATTTGACTAGATATATTTCAAGACACTTCTATACAGCTTAAAGTGACATTTAAAGGCTTAACTAGGTTAATTAAGTTAACTAGGCAGTTTAGGGTAATTAGGCAAGTTATTGTATAACGATGGTTTGTTTTGTAGACTTATGAAAAAAAACAAATGCTTAAAGGGGCTCATAATTTTGACCCTAAAATGTTTTTTAAAAAAATTAAAAGCTGCTTTATTCTAGCTGAAATAAAACAAATAAGACTTTCTCCAGAAGAAAAAATATTATCAGACACACTAACAAATTCCTTGCTCTGTTAAACAATTTGGGAAATTTAAAAAAAGAAAACAAAATTCAAAGGGGGGCGAATAATTCTCAACTGTATATACTGTAGTGATTGAATAATATTGTGATTGTGATTATACCTGTTTGCTTTTAGTGTTTTTGAAGGTGAACTGTCAGAAACGATGCCCGTCATTCATGCCTCTATAGCAGGATGTCGAATCATTGGGAGAATGTGTGTGGGTAAGAACATTTATTTAATCCAGTTTCATTCATTCATTCATTTTCCTTCGGCTTAGTCCCTTTATTCATCACCTAATTTATCAATAAGATGTAATAAAATTTTCCCCTATAATAGTTCTCACCATTCATTCAATCAGTCAAATGTATATGCATATTAGCCATTATTTTATTTGTTAATTTTATTATTCAAGATACAGATCTGAAAAAGCTACTTCTTTCTATTAAAGGGCTGACCTCCCCATACGTTATGTTTTGACTTCCTTCAATGGGGATCAAGTGTTAATTAGGGAGGGGGGTCAACAAAAAAAATCTGCGTATTTATGCGGAGTGATTTTGGGAGTATCATAATTAAAAACTTAATATATGAAAGAGAAATAATACTTTTTAAAAACTTATTTAATGTTTACAGTGCATATTCAAATAGATCTACTTATTTAGTAAACAAAGCAAGTCTCTCATAATATATCCACTAAAAGACAGAACGTATGATTTTACTTACTGTATTGTAAATAAGTCATATGAACATTTTCATATTTATCAATAATATTACTTATAAGTAAATCTAAATGTACACACATTTACACAAGTAAACAAATAGACTCAATGATTAGCTGGAAATCTGTGGGCCTACATATCAGTATATTGTATTTCAGAAACAACCCTATTGCATTTCTTTGAATATGGTTATGATAACAAGAAATCAGTAGTTAATGATGAAACTTTACTGTTTCTATATCTACCTTGGTCACATTAGGTCTTGTTACCTCTTGTTTGATCAATAATAGATGTCGTGTGGTCTATGACGCTCTTCTGCAGGAAACCGTCACGGTCTCTTGGTGCCCAACAACACGACAGATCAGGAGTTACAGCACATCAGAAACTGCCTGCCAGACTCCGTGCGCATCCAGAGAGTAGAGGAGCGTCTTTCTGCACTGGGAAACGTCATCGCTTGTAACGACTATGTTGCTCTCGTTCATCCAGACCTTGACAGAGTAAGAACATCTTCAAACTTTAAAAGGATAGTTCAGCCAGGAATGAAAATTGATCACTATTTACTCTCCCTCAAGTGACTATAAAAATGTATTTCTTATGTCGAACACAAAGGAAGATATTTTGAAGAATGTTGAAAGCCTGTAGCCATTGACTTACATAGTAGGAAAAAATGAATACTATGGAAGTCGATAGTTGCAGGCAGTGCCGGCCCATAGGGTTCAGGGTCACCAGGCGAGATAAAAAAAACAAAAAACAATTTCAATATTTAAGTGTATAGATTTTTATTACTGTAACATTTAACCTATAATACATAAGCAAAAATATTTGCTCAGATTTAAATAAATAAGTTTGTAAGCCTGAAAACACTCATTTATTAGCATTGAGTATATAAGTATGACACATACAAATAAAACATGAATCAAATGCATTTTTTGTAAATGTATTACACAAATATATGCATAAATAACTCGAAATGCTGGAGATGTTTTAGCTTTTCATACAGAGATTTACACAAACAAAACTTTGTATTAGAGACTGGATAAGATTCGATTTTGACAAAATTACGGGAAACCCTGTTTTTTTCAGCAGGCTGAATTAGTGGGACAGATAATTAACTGATTATTTAATAAAACATGCTGAATGTGGCCGATTGGTTGCATTTGTAAAACACGTCCTAATACTGCACTACTAAATTATGTAGTGTGTATAGCAGAACACACAGTTGAATTCAGAATTATTCCACCCCTTTGATTTGTTTATTTTTTTAACATTTCCTAAATTATGTTTAACAGAGCAGGGAAATTTTTACAGTATTTCTTCCCATGATTTTTTCCCCTTTCTTCTGTTTAGACGCCATTTTATTTCAAATGAAAATTTGATTAAGACTTATTAAAAATAGCAACAACACTTGTGACAGTATATTACGTAAGACTTTAAGACACTTTTCAGCTTTATATTGATCGTGAGCAATTTGGAGAGATATGTGGAATCTGTGAAGGAATACGTTACGTCATTCTAGTCCATCCAATAGCTGATCCCAGGCGGTGTTATATAGTGTGGTGCTGCTTGATATTTTTCTAATATTTTCTGCTTATATTATTACTGTTGTTGTGTATTTACAATCATTTTCATTTATTTGTCATGTATGAATTATACAGAGCTATTCTTTTAATGAAATGTGGAGGTTATTTTTTTCCTCACAGTGAATTGTATCGTGTTTAATGGGGTTTGTGCAATGCGCATTATTAATGAATTTTTAAATGCTCATTCTTGCGCTTACGTTCACAGTAAATATAACATAAAAGCAGCACTTGTGGTGCCCTCCAAAAATCGGGGGCCCTAGGCTATACTACACCTATATTGCCTGTTGGATGCCTACTGGTTTAAAAAGACCAAGATTAAATGAAGATGGACAAATGAGAACTATTCTGCCATAAACTATAGTAAAACAACTTGTCAAAAAGAATAAAAAAATAAATAAACCCTGCGAAGAGACATAAAAAAAACTTCTTTTATTATCAGCTGTCAGTCAGCGCCCGCACTGAATTGACCATCAAGATCTGCAGTGTAAATGCAGCTGTAGTCATTGAAAGTCAGGAAAAAAAACAAGAAATTTGTAATTTGGCCTATTTCATATTTTGATTAAACAAGGAAAAAGTTACTTAACTAATTTAACTTAACTAATTAATCAAACTTTTTTGCAATTAAACGCAATAAATCACATTTAAAAGACTGAAACTTGTAATTTTGGCTATTCAAATGTAAAATTAATGTAAACACAAGATAAAAAACGACTTAAATTCAAAATATAATTGTTTATTATAATTTTTGTTTAACTTGTAACCCACATTTCTTCATGTAAACAACAAACTGTTGTAAAAAAATAAATGAATGAGTGAAAAAAGAGAAGAGAACCCAGTCCAGGAGACTCGAAACAAGCAGAATTCCTTTATTGAGACGTGTTGGTTAATCTGCAGTCATACAGCGTCTTTAAGATGTCCGTGTCTGCAAGAGCCTACTAGAGGACCGCAGTCTGCAAGTTCTTTCACAAGTCTGTAAAATAGTCTGAATTAAGACAAAGATTTCATGGCTATATTGTGTTCTTAGGAGGAGGGGATATAGCTAAACAAAGTATGCAAATTAAGAGTTGTGGTCGGCAGGGTAAACTGCTTTTTCAGACCTAATCTCATCTTGTTCTGGAGACAGAAACCGCCTGACCATTTGATCGAAAAGAGAAAACAATAGACACCCCATGCTGTGAAACTGACAATTTGCATTACATTGGCTTAGCCTGTAATCAGAAAGACAAAAGGTTAATGTCCTTAACTGGAATGTTAATGAAATTATATAATTAAAAACCAGAGAATATAACTTTTTAGTTATACGTAGATTATTGTTAATTTGAAATTAGATGATATAAATTTATATTTCCACAAAACCCACAATAAAACATCAAGATCCTGGCTTGACAGCCATATTTATTACAGAAATTAAAACACAGGCATGTTAATGCCATTTGAAATTCAAAACAATCAACACCAATAAAGAAAACCTTGATTTCCATGTTGGATTCTAAGTGGACTATAAAAAAATGCCAAAATACAGGCATTGCAGATATGGAAAATTAAAATAATGATAAAGTATTTAATACAAACAAACAATTGTACTCGTTGAAAAGTTGTATTGCTGATAGTTGAGAACACACACACACACACACACACACACACACACACACACACACATAAACAACACGCGTAGGACAGCACAACCGGATCGACTCTCTTCAGATTCAACATGCATGATCGCATTCATCAAATTTGCTTAAACTAAGCATTCTTAAGTTTGGCTGTATTTTACAAGAATTCTGACACAACAACGTGAAGCAGACGCTTTACAAAGGTTGCGTTTAAGGGGGAAACACGACAGAATGGGCCATCTTTGACAGCTCGCGACATCATCTGAGTTTCACAGAGTACATTTACATGGACACCAAGACTCTGATTTTAATATGATCAAGATAATACTCTTATTAAGAGTCCACCATGTAAACAGCAACTTTTGGTTCCCTTAAAGGACCACAGAGTCACGAAGTGCGGAGGTTTTTCTTTCAGTTCGGCATATGGTATCAAATTCCATTGAAACAAAAGTTGAAAGATTAACAATGAAACATACAAAATTAGATGAAACTCTAGAGGAAACGCTGGATAGCCTGGTGATGCGACATTAATTGTTTTAAACTTTACTTCGAGAAGTGCTTCCTTGGTCTTATCTATATTTCTTTGCATGTTGAACACACGTCCACCACAACAGAAAAAAAACTGAAACTGCGTTAATTGTGTAAAAAATGTTTTAATGTGTTAATTATTTCAAATTAATTACATGCGTTAACGCACTAATATTGACAGCACTGGTTTATATAAATGATTTTAATTTAAATTAAAATAAGCATTTCACATAAGAAAAATAAGTGAGTGTGTAATTATTATATATTAATCGGTCAAAAAACAAAGCACTTTTTTGTTTTTCATTGTCAATAAATGACAAATTAATCGATGCAAATGAACACAGATGGTTTTGTTTAGTTTTTCATAGTTGGTGTATTTATCAGAAATGTATTGGATTGTCCGCAGGAGACAGAAGAGATTCTAGCAGACACTCTGAAGGTGGAGGTGTTCAGACAGACGGTCGCAGAGCAGGTGCTTGTGGGTAGTTATTGTGCTTTCAGTAATCAGGGAGGCCTCGTTCACGCCAAAACATCCATAGAAGATCAGGACGAGCTCTCGTCACTCCTGCAGGTGCCTTTAGTGGTAAGTTGCTGACGCGTCATCACTGACAAGACCGTAAATCATCTTCACATGCTTCTGCACCATTACTATGTGTATATATATATATTTAAATCAAAAGTTTCAACGTGGGCTGAAGTTGTTGTGTTGGAAAGCCTCTCGAATGCTCTCATTAAATGTTCACTGATGAGTGTTAACCGAAGTCTCTGTCTGCAGGCTGGTACAGTGAATCGTGGCAGTGAAGTGATCGCCGCCGGGATGGTGGTGAACGACTGGTGTGCTTTCTGTGGTCTGGACACCACCAGCACTGAGCTCTCAGTCATCGAGAGCGTCTTCAGACTGAGCGAAACACAGCCCAGCGCCATCGCTACTACTATGAGGGACTCGCTCATCGACAGGTACCAGACCACCACTGCAGACAAATACACTAATGGGCCCATCACATTAAACATCAGTGTTTGTGTACAACAAATGAACGTGTTGATTTCACAGATTGCTTCATTCCACACTATGAAAATAAGCCCATCAAATGCATAAACCTGTTGAGATTCTTATGTTGAACACAAAATATGATATTCTAGTCATTGACTTCACAGTATTTTTATTCTGTTTTTTATCATAATATTGAATTCAATAGTACAGGGTTCATACGGTCATGGAAAATAATAGGTTGCCATGAGATTGTGATGGTTTGTAAATAAAATAATAATCTAGCCAAAGTGAAATATTCAGTTTCAGAGAAGCCTATAATAAACTGTTTTCAATATTAATGACAAATTTGAATAAGCAGGAAATGCCTTTTTGCGATGTATTCGCAGCACTGAACATGTTCCCAGATTACCGCGGAAGAACAAACTCTGTTAAAAGGATGAGAGAACTCAGAAGCTCATTGTGAGAATGAAGATGTCTGCATATTTGTGCAGTGTCAAATAAAATAGCTTAAAACACTTCAGTATTTTAGAGAAAGTAGTTGAAGTTTGCATAACCAATGATTGGTCTTATCTACCTGTGACCCAACCATAAGTAAATATGTAGCCTATTTTTTTATTACCTGACCGGCACATTATTGGCAGCACCCGCTTAGATAATCGGGAAATGTCGTTTTTTTTGTCGTTTACGAATTACCACAACACCCTACGTCAAGGAAATCGTGTGGTCTGACCGGAACTTAAGTGTGAGTAAATAAAGAACTCTGACTTTATTGGTATAAACAGGGTGTCTGCAGGTTTCACTAGACCATTTCAAGATTTTTTTTTTTACGACCATGAAAAATGAAATTTCAGACTTATATATTGCTTAACACTAAGGATTATTTTAATTTGCCCAGCAGAAAAAAAATGACTTTCCCAATCAAAAAAAACTAATACTAATTCATTCTAGCAGTGGCGGATTTAGGCATGGGCAATATAGGCGATCGCCCAGAGCAGCATCTTGCTGGGGGCGGCACGGGGAGACGGTGCAAAAAAAAAAAAAAAAAAAACATCACCTAGTATAAGCATTGAGATCACTGTACATCAAGACAACGACAAGGTTTGTTTGAGCTCAGTCATCCATGGCTCGTTATTATATGCATATAGTTTTACAGTGTAATGTCTTGGTTGTGTATTACAACATGGCGGTTCCTTTGTTTTCATTCTGGCTAGCTGCACACAAGCTCATGACGTTTCTCTGTAACCAATCAGTGTTCAACGGCGCGTGTAGCTTCATCTTTTAGTACCCTTTCTCGTGTTTGGTACCCTTTGGAAAGTGTGCTGAAAAATGGAAACGGCCATAAAAGCGCACCACTCAGTGGAAACAGGGCATTAAACTCTGAAATCTGGACTGACAGTTTTAATTTAGTAGAACTTCTGTTAAGCTGCTTAGACACAATCTACATCATGAAGTGCTCTAGAAATAAAGACGAATTAGATTGAATTGAATTTTAAATGAGTCAAAACAAGCAGACCCTAGTTGTGTACATTTTTTTTTCAACATAACTTTAAAAATTTAAAACCGTGTATTAGTTAGACTGTTATAATATTAGTTATTTTATTTAGTTTTATTGAGATGTATTGTTGGTGAAAGGAAAATTACGACCCGTTTGAAATGATTTAGAACCCACAAGACAATATTTCAGTGAATTGAAGACTTTTTAAGGCCTGAAATTTAATTTTTGAAATGCAAGACTTTTTAATATGTGCAGATTCTTTGATAAACCGTGCATTAATGTTATTTGAGAACACATCTTAACCTTTGTCATTTCTTCTTTTGCAGTCTCACATAAAGCAGAACGGTTTTGGCATCTTAAGAAGAGCCTGAACGGAGCTGGAAGTCAACATTGGTTGGTTTAAAAGCTTGTGGGTTTTTTTCATGGACGAACGCACTCTTACCTTCACAACACACACACACACACGTCTTCACTGTAATATTCATGTATGAACTGCTCGTCATGCTGTCTTTGTGAAAATGCCAAGACAAAATAAAGTGTTTTTATTGAAGACCACCTGTCCTGGAACTGCTGACAGATGTGTTTTCTGCTCAAACACAGTGCTTTAGTCAATAAAATAACCATATCGCTTCCGTAAAAGGTCTCGAATGTGATTTTTGCAGCATGTAGTTAATGCATATGCTGTTGGAATAGCAATAAATATCTTAGGACAAATTCTGATGCCGTAACAGATTTATTAAAGCTGTGAAGCTACGATATTACACATTCAGAAAGGAACAGTGCAGCATGGCTTGTCTTTGGTATTTATGAATTTGCGCACACAAATCTTACATATTACAGTGCATCAATGTAAAATATAAAACTGGTGAAATGAGTGTAACATGCACATATAACACAAGTGGAATGCAACACAATAAACTCAAATCATTTGATGTGGAAAAATTTACCATTCAAAAGTTGGAGCTGGCCAAAATAAAGGCGTTTGTTTGAAATAAAACTCATTTTAGTGTATTATGTTATTTTAATTATCACTTCCTACCTAAAAGTGCCTCTTTCTGGCGAAATAAATTATTCTGCCTCCAAATTATGAATGGTAGTTGGGGAAAAAAAAACTCTTATCTTTTGGTCTACATGTGAAGGAGACTCCCACTCTTTAATGAAGCTTCATGACGTTGACAGTTTGTTATTAATCAGCCATTCATGGTTCAGTATTACTACAATAATCTTGTAAATATGACTAGATAAGTTAGATACCGATCCTTAGAGTAAAGACGTCTCCAGACAGACAAACAGGGGAAAAATAAAGCATTGAATGCAGTTCTGAAACTCAAAACAGAGCATTTATAAAACCTGCTTTGCACAGATGTGGGGTCAGATCTACGCTCATTTTCAAAACAGCTTAATAACTTGTGGAAAAGATGCCTTTTTTAGAGTCCAAATGTTTGAAAATCTTACATGCCACTTTCAAGTAAAACATATAAACCTTTATTATTTTAAATATTTTATATGCTAAAGTGATTTAGAGGGTGTTTAAAGGTCTGAAACCATATTAGATGAAAAATGTCAACATTTTCTGTGATTAACAGATTTTATATCCTGAAGGGAGGCATATGCTTGGTTTTTGTGCATAGACACGTTTGAGAAATGATCTCATTTTAAATACAGATGGCTGTGAAACATTACAAATGAACAAATCTCCATAAAGCATTAAGGATTTTCCATATATAGACCAGTGCTTTTTGGCAACATAAATGACAGTTAAAAAAAAATAATACAAATGACATTTTAAGGCCTAAAATGTAACAAAAGCATCACCGTTGTAGTTTTGACACATAAAGAGTGCGTTTCTACATATCATATACATATATACGGCAGTGAAAACAGAAGCTCAAGTCACATGTGTAGACAATCTGCAAAACTATGTTAAGCGCAGCAGTGACGGCATACGACATCTGAAATAGTTTCAGGTGGTCATGTCATACTTTTTTGCCAAGTTCAGACTGCGAGATTTCAGCCCTGATTTCGAGAAATCAGAAAAATCTGTGCTCGTTCACGTGAGTGACAATCACACAGCATGAGCTATCAAAGACGCGATCTGAGAGAATCGCTGATGAGTCGCCGATGCCCGAGAGATATTTGGCTTGCTAAATATCTGGCGCTGTCGGCGATTCAAATCATGTCTGTGAAGTGTGTTTTGATTGAAAATAACATCAGCGATTACCTACACCATATGAGAGAGCAGCATACACTAGTGTGGGTATCTGCAGGCCAGCAGGAGGTTGGGGGAGAAGTTAAAAGGGCTTCTTTCAGTCCATTTGGACCCAAGAAACGTAAGAAAAACTAGTGTAAATTTGGCAGGAGCACCCATGTCTGTTTGACGTGTCATCTGGGCAAAATCACAATCAGATGTAAAAGAAAAAAGTTGAGGAGAGATTGTTAATCACTAAATTGTTAATTTATGAGTTATCTCACAGAGATATTAACAATTAATTACCCCACAATTAACAATTACCCCACTAAAGGCTTCTTTCTCATTATATAGTTAATAACAATAGATGTACTACGTGCCTTGCGTTGTTTCCTTGTCACTTCTTGCGTGTTTGGTTGTGAGACGTAGTTTGTGGACCAAGACAAAGTTGTGGGTGATTCTTCCTATTGTAAAGTCATGAGGTGTGAAAGCCCCTGTCGCCGATCCATCTGGCAGTGTAAACAAAGCAGCGGTGAAACACAAGCCCAGATAGTCAAGCAGTGTGAAAACACCCGACACAAAAATCGTGTAGTCTGAACTCGGCATTAAACACTATATTTGGGGTGCACAAAAATCCGGTCACTCATAATTCTTCATAAGTGTATATTCAGACAATACCTACTACTGTTTGTGCGTACGATCAATAAAACAATATTTCTTTGATTAAAAACAAGACGAAATCCCACTTTAAACAAACAAATGCTTTTTTTTCCTTTTAAATGTAAACACAAATGCAAAAGTCCTGCAACCTGCACAGGAAGACCAGACTCTTTCCAGAAACCTGCTCAACATTCACACACTGACACATTCATATTTCACTTCAGATATAATACTCGTCATTTGTCAACGCAGCATTATGCTCAATCCACAAAGATCATTTTTCACTCTGAAAAAAAACATGTTGATGAATAGATATAAGGATAAAATGATGATTATTGTCAGCGATGTTGACCTGATGAAGTGCACTTCAGTTCTGCTCTTCTTTGAGATCAAACCTGACAGACAAAGATGAAGAACGCATTAATCAACACTTCATTCAGAAGTTAAACACAGAAGTTTGTGTTTCTGGACCACAAAACCAGACAATAGTGTAGAAAATGTTTTGAAATTGAGATTATACATCGACTGAAAGCTGAAATAGGGGCAGCACGGTGGCTCAGTGGTTAGCACTGTCACCTCACAGTGAGACGGTCACTAGTTCGAGTCCCGGCTGGGTCAGTTGGCATTTCTGTGTGGAGTTTGCATGTTCTCCGTGTTGGTGTGGGTTTCTTCAGGGTGCTCCAGTTTCCCCCACGGCCCAAAGACATGCACTATAGTGGAATTGAATAAACTAAAGTGGCCGTAGTGTATGAGTGTGTTGGTGAATGTGAAAGTGTGGGTGTTTCCCAGTACTGGGTTGCAGCTGAAAGGGCATCCATTGCCTAAAACATATGCTGGAATAGTTAGTGGTTCATTCCGCTGTGGCGACCCCTGATGAGACTTAACCGAAGAAAATTTTTTAAAAAGCTGCAATAATAAAAGCTTGTTATCATTCCAAAGTCTGGAATTTGAGGTTCCAAAAAAATGTAAATTAGATAATCACATTCTGTTCTGATCAATGCACATTACTGGTCAAAAACTGAGTGTTGATATGTTTTTAGTAGCACACTTAATGTCTTCATGGAACATAAGACTGGTTTTGTGGTCCAGGGTCTCATATTAGAATAAAATAAAAGCATGTTTGTGTACAAATGAATAAAAACTCACCATTGTGTGACTCCAGAGATTAAATCAATGTGTCCCAGGTCTATTTGCACCTACAGGAAGAAATTAATATAATAAAAAAATAATAAAATAGGCTTATTAAAATTAAAAAGATACAAAATAATATGACATCTTAAATATATATATGAACTGTATATGTGACTGTTCTTGAATGGCCCAGCAAGAGCCCTGATGTACACAAAACTGCACAACAATTTAAAAACGTGTTTCTTTAGACATTTTATAACTGACAAAAATTCTACGCAAAAAAAAAGAAGTTTGCCGTGTAAATTTGTTGTTTTCATAGATGTATTTTTAAAACAACATAATACACCATTAATGTTGGTCTGGCGGCGCAGTGGATAGCACATTCGCCTTACAGCAAGAAGGTCGCTGGTTCGATCCTCGGATCAGTTGGCGTTTCTGTGTGGAGTTTGCATGCTTTCCCTGCGTTTGCGTGGGTTTCCTCCGGGTGCTCCGGTTTCCCCCACAGTCCAAAGACATGCGGTACAGGTGAATTGGGTAGGCTAAATTGTCTGTAGTGTGTGAGTGTGTGTGGATATTTCCCACAGATGGGTTGCGGCTGGAAGGGCATCTGCTGCGTAAAAACTTGCTGGATAAGTTGGCGGTTCATTCCGCTGTGGCGACCCCAGATTAATAAAGGGACTAAGCCGACAAGAAAATGAATGAATGAATGATGTTGGTCTCAATATTTTTGTTTTGTGGTCAGTTATCAAAACATCCCCAGTATGAATTTTTGTTTTTTGATTTGTCTCTCCACATAACCCAGTAGATGTGAACTGACCTGGCCGATCACGTCTTTGTCTCGGTTCATGAAGGACGAGGAAGCGTTTTTCACACACACACTGAGCTCTCGTCTCTGAACCTCTTCCATACTCATATCAAACTCAAACCTGCAGGAAACACACACACACACACACACACACACACACACACACACACACACACACACACACACACACACACACACGGTCAAATCTCGAAAAACACTGAATGTCCACAAGAGACGATGCACAGATCTAAGAACAGAAAATAACTGCTTTTATTGCAGACAGACTAAAAGAAACAAGACTTCAGAGCATTTCCTCATTTTTTTAACATCATTTGGGACTTCTTTTTGTAGGTCATTTCTAGGATATTTATTTGATATATGTTTTGATACTGGATGTCAAAATTTTGAAAGATGAATGTGGCCAAGTACAGGGATATCCTGGGGGAAACCTCTCCAGAGTGTTTGGGACCTCAGATTTGGCGGAAGGTTTACTTTCTAACAAGACAATGACCCTAAAGACACAGCTAAAATAACAAAGGAGTGGCTTCCCAACAACTCTGTGACTGTTCTTGAATAGCCCAGCCAGAGCCCTAAGGTAAACCCAATTGAGCATCTCTGAAAAGACCTAACAATGGCTGTTCACCAAAATTTACCATCTAACCTGAGGATCTGCTGGGGGGAATGGCAGAGGATCCCCTGAAAAATCTGTTGCCTCTTCCCCAAAAAGACTCATGGCTGTATTAGATCAAAAGGGTGCTTCTACTAAATACTGAGCAGTGTCTGAATACACCTCCATGAAGTTGGCACCCCATAAAAACAAATAATCCCCAAAACTGAGCCTTTCGTTTGTGCTGATTTGTGCCGCAAAAACGAATGTTTGTGCTGGTTTGGGGTCTGAGGTAATAAGCATTATTTTTTTGACCGTGTGACGTCACTTTCCACCCCATGTTGCTCCAACGACTTCAAATCAGCAAAGGTCGTTTGTGCTGGATTTGTGCCGTTAAAACAAACACTGTATCCATTTTCCTCGTTTAGATTTAAGGTAAATATTTCAGGAGTGGTGACGTCACTCTCCACCCCATTTCCTCTAAATCGCACCAAACTGTTGTCATTCTCCAACGATGAGGTAAAATAATTGATTTTAGCAAACGGCTGCAATAACAAAGAGCAAAACAATTAAGAGGGTCTGAATAATTTCCCTACCCCTACATATACACGCGCACACACTTCTACACATTCACCCACCCACACATACTTTTCATTGAACTCTGGATTGAGGGTTTTCTTCTTCACACTGGTCTTTCTCTTGGTGGCCTTGCTTTTATCTGGCAGCAGAATGATGGAGACGTAAGTGTCTAAGCTGTCCTTAGATGATGTGACCAGACCCCTGAAACACACACACACACACACACACACACACACACACACACACACACACACACACACACACACACACACACACACACACACACACACACACACACACACACACATCAGCGTCCTGGAATCACCTCAAACTTCACACACAGAGATAACTCATAAACTCGTCATGAGTGTAGCTCAGACCTGCAGTTGTGGACGAGCAGCGTCAGCTTCTTCTGGAAGGACATGGAGAGCTGGATTTGTCCTGTTGTGGCCGTTTGCTTGTTACTCAAAACCGGACCTGAACCCATCGCCACTAAAGCCGCCATTTTGGAATCCAAGATCTGGATAAAAGACAAAATCTCAGTTAATTGTTGAAGGCCCCGTTTACACTAGTGCATTTTAGTTTTAAAACGGCGTTTCAGATCAAAAAAGTTCCGTGTCCACACTAGTGTTTCACCTAGCGTCTCTGAACATATTTCCGTCCAAACTACGCCACCAAAAATGTATATCACGTGACCATTCGCACACACTGGGCACGCACGTTCTAGTATAAACAGAAAGCATGCGTCACGCTCGGCATTTTGTTATTGTTAGTTAACAAACGCCGGTTGAACATTAAACGCGATGGCAAAGAAAGCAAGAGAGGTATTTTCGTGGACAGACGACGAGGTCGAGTTGTTACTAAACGTAACAAGTGAATAACTGCACAATGGCGCCCAAAACAGACAATAGTGCAAACAACGCTCCCATTTCTGTGCCCATGTTGTTGTTTACAGCACTGTCTTCTGGTAGCGTTAAAGCCATGTGTTACAGTCATGTGATAGAGGCTTAACGAATAAGGGAAGGATACGGAATGACACAAAAGCCCCAATCAGGTAGAGGATCTCAGCAGTCCCGCCTCCGTTTTCAGATGTCTCTGTTTTCAAAATGCTCCGTTTACGGCGCTCGAGAACTCCGGTTTAGTGTGGACGCATGGCGTAACCGTAGCAAAACTAATGCGTTTTAAAACGAAAATGCATTAGTGTAAACGGGGCCGAAGTTTACTGAAGGTCAGAAGTTTGGAATATTTATGACTTTTTGAAGCTTTTGAAAGAAGTCTAAGCTGAAGTATTCGATCATAAATACACTAAATGGTCGTAATTTGAAAGTCAGTAGTATTGCAATTTAAAAGAAACTGTCTGAACATATTTTAAAATGTAATTTATTTTCTGGTGGCACGGTGGCTTAATGGTTAGCACCGTGGTTGGTTGGTAGGTAGACGGACAGACAGACAGACAGATAGACAGATGATAGACAGACAGATATTTTTATTTCAATCTTAATGATCAAACTTTTCAAAAACTTAAAAAAAAATAAACAAAAAAACTAATTATTCTGATGTTTTGATTCAGAGAGTGTATACTATAGAAAATATATCTCGTCTTTTTCAGAAAGTAAAACAAAACACACAAAAATAGCCCATGAAAGGAAGTGAAAATATGCCTGGAGTCTGACCTTCAGCTGAGCTCTGAGCAGAATCTGACTCTGTGCTGAAGCTCCATCCAGGCTCAGCCATTGGTCCAGCAGAAGATCTGGTTTTAAAAGCAGCTCTCTGATTGGCAGAACCAAAGAGCCCATTGGTTGATCCCAGGCACTCGAGAGCTGCATCAAATGACCAGAAACCAAAACAGAGTGTAAAATCATTAAAATACAAAGCTGAAGCTAAAATCTACAACTCATAAATTCTTCTTTTCTTCCACGTTGTGTTGTAAATCCAAGTGAAACAGGTTATTAAACAAAGATCAATGAAGGACAGGACTTGATTTTGTCTATCATTCATTCATTGGATGGTGGTGGCTTGCTATTGGTGGATTTCAATTGATTGACAGGTTGATCCCACCCTCGTGTCAGTAAACACCAATCAGAAAAAAGATGTCATTAAGGAGGGAAGGATGTTAGGAATGCACGTTAGCATTGCAATTAACAAGAAATAAACAAGATGCTCTATATATCAATCTCTTAAAGAAGCAAATTTTACTACAATATCCTCACCTTGATCACCAGCACGTCCTTTTTGGGGTCGTGAACCAGAAAGTCAAAAGTTTCATTCCAGTGAGGAGAAGATGAACGTTCACACACCTTTACATTGGACCAAACACAGAGAGCACTTTAAATATATATGGATATTTGATAAGCTGTAAAGACTCTGTTTTTACTAATAAGAGTCTCCTGCCTTGGATTTATAAGACGTTCCTCCAAGTGTAAGTTCAGCTGCAGCTTTGGGTTCCTTTCCACTTTTCTTCAGCTGGAGACAGAGGGAAACACCAGTGCTTAACAAAGAGTCATCAACAGGTGCTTCTTTTTATTCATATAATATACATGTGATTCCATTACAATACATGATTATTATAATGAAATTGCATTCATATACAATTAAGTTTTATTAATAAAATATATTTATGAGAAAAATGTTTTAAATAAAATATTTTTAAATGACTGTATAGAGCTATTACCATTTCCCAAGCGCTGTTTAAAGGAGAGATTTTGCAAGATACTAGGTCAGTAGGGCTGCATGATTAATTGAAAAAAAGATTACGATCTTGATTTGACCCCCCACACGATCTTAATTCAGCATTTCTACGATTCAGCCAATTACATTTTTTAAGTTCGCGAGAAGCATAAAGGCAGTCGCACAAGTCTTCACATTGTTTTATGCATGTTGGACACCTCCAAATGGTGTTAAACGTGTCACATACTGTATTTATAAGGTATAATTTATCCAAGAAATGTCATCTCTGTCTAAATGTAATGATGTATTCACTGCAAAAATGCTTTTCTTACTTAGATTTCTTTGTCTTGTTTCTAGTCTAAATAACTAAATACTCTTGAATCAAGAAGAATTTTCTAGACAAACAAAACATATTGTCTTGTTTTAAGAAATTATAAGCTAAAAATGAAGCGAGTTTTTCCCTAAAAGAAGCTAAATAATCTACCAATGGGGTAAGCTAAATAACCTTATGTCAAAAGGAAAAACAGGATTATTTAGCTTTACCCCATTGGCAGATTATTTTGCTTGTTTTAAGGAAAAGCTCACCTAATTTTGGCATATTATTTCTCAACACAAGACAATGTTTTGCTTACTTAGAAAAATGCTTCTTGATATAAGCATTTTTAGATATTTGGACTAGAAACAAGACAAAAAAAAAAAAAAAAACAATCGAAGAAAAGCATTTTTTTGCAATGTTCGCAGCTGCGAAATCACACGTGAGCTAATGCACTGTTGTTTACTACTAAGAAGACACGTGCATGCCTGCCAATGAAGTCTACTTTAGTGAACAGAACCTGCATAGGGTGTGAATAACCCCTTTCACACATACAGACCTTTCCGGAAAATTACCGGTAATTTTTTTTGGAAAGGTCTGTATGTGTGAACAGGCCCTTTTTAAAAATACCGGTAAATTCGTTCCGGCAATTTTCCTGGAAAGAGAAGCTGTAACATTACTGTTAATTTGCTGGAATGCTGCGCTGTGTGAAGGCAAAAGAAAATTTGCCAGAAAGGGCGCGTTCACAATTAGAACATTCTGACGTGAAACATCTACTCCAGCCAATCAGAACACTCACATCCGTGCTGTTTACGAAAATAAAAGCCTTTGTATTTTTTTCCAGACACATTTAGCTGCTAGATGTCAGTCAGATCACGTTTCTCTGATCTTTCTTAATGCCAAATGTGTAAAAAAAAATCCAATAAAATGCTTATGATAAAGCGCTGGTTGTCTACCTTCACGCTCTGCTTCATTTGCTTGCCACGTGTGCACGTGAAGCAGCCGGTGAGCGCCAGCACAAACATATTATGTACCATCAAACAAAAGCCTGACCCCTTCTATGCTTACAAATACAAGCGCAGCCGTTTATTTCTGGTTAATGATGTCAGAATTTACCAGTATTTTGGAATGGATGTGTGAATTGTCTTTTCCAGAAAAATTCCGGAATGTTCTTGCCTGTGTGAACAGCGCTTTTTTGATTTTACCGGTAAAGTCGTTCCGGTAAATTTCCAGATATATATGTGCGAAAGGGGCTATAAACAGCTAAAAGTTGTAAATAACGTTCAGTTTGGGAAGCAGGTGGGAGGTATGATTTGCATGTATGTCTTTTTTTCCACAAAGTGACAGCAGCCATGACATGAACGCACTCGGCATTAAAAGTGAAACCAAAACCGCACACTTTAAATGATCATCTCGCACTGTAAAGTTGTGACAAAGTGTTGCACATGAAAATAAATGTTTAAGTGTCAGTAGAACTACTCCAGCCTATATAATGTTGAATATATTGCAGGAGGGTAATCTGCTAATGACAAATGTCTCATTTTACCAGTGAAAAAAAAAGGTCCAATAATGTTGTCAATGACAAGCACACGTCTCAAACATAATAATTTAACTTAAGAATTATGAATAGCTGTATTCTGATGTCATCACTTTACTGTGCATTACTGATGCAGGACAAATTTAAAGTCTATTCAAGTCTATTGTTCCAAGTTTATACAAAATTTAGCAGTAGACTTACACATAGGCCTAATATTATTGTTGTTTTACCATATGTTTGAGAATTACCAATAATAATAGCCAACTCATATTAACCTTTAACATCTACAGAATCGTGATCTTGATTTTGAGCAAAAATAATTGTAATTCTCATGTTAGCCAGAATCGTGTAGCTCTAGTATTCAGTTTAAAAGTCACATTTAAAGGCTTAACTAGGCTAATTATGTTAGGTAGTCAAGTTAGCGTAATTAGGCAAGTCAATAGCCCCTTTCACACATACTGACCTTTCCGGAAAATTACCGGCAATTTTCCGGAAAGGTTGTATGTGTGAACAGGCCCTTTTTGAAAATACCGGTAAATTAATTCTGGCTATTTTCCGGAAAGAGAAGTTGTAACATTACCGGTAATTTGCCGGAATGCTGCGCTGTGTGAATGCAGAAGGAAGATTCCCGTAATAAGCGCGTCCACATCTAGAACGGGCTGACGTGAGACACCTGCTTTAGCCAATCAGAACAGTCAGACGCATTCACGTGCGCGCGGTTTATGAGAATAAAAGCCTTTGAATATTTTTTCCAGACACCTTTAGCTGCTAGATGTTAGTCAGATCACGTTTCTGTGTTCCTTCTTAATGCTGTGTAAATAATTATCGATAAAATGTTTATGATAATCCGTTGTTTGTTTACCTTCAAGCTTTGCGTGTGCCCGTGAGCGCCCATAGCGCCAGCACACACACATATCAAAGTGTTTCCCTATGTTTTCATTAGAGTTGTACTCAATACTGATCCATCCGAAGAGTTTGTAATGTAGTCAAATGTTTATAAACACAAGCGCAGCCGTTTAGAGGTCATTTCTGGTTAATGATGTCAGAATTTACCGGCATTTTGCGATGGATGTGTGAATGTTTTTTCCGAAAAATTTTCGTAACGTCCTCTCCTGTGTGAACAGCGCTTTTTTGAATATACCGGTAAAGTCGTTCCGGAAATTTTCCAGATATTTACCGGTATCACTGTGTGAAAGGGGCTAATGTATAACAGTGGTTTGTTCTGTTGACTATCTAAAAATCATTTCTCAAGTGGGCGAATAATCTTGACATTAAAATTAAAAAATGTAAAAAAAAAAAATAAAAAAAAAAATGAATAGCTGCTTTATTCCAGCCAAAGACCTTCTCCAGGAGACAAAAATATAATATAGGAACTACTTTGAAAATGACCTTGCTCTGTTAAACATGACTTGAGAAATATTTGAAAAATCATTTAAAATTTCAGAGCGGCTAATACATTTTTTTTCTCATTCATTATCAAAAATATTTGTAATAGAAGATACTCAATAACATGACCATCAGTGTAGGCTTTATCTGTGTATATTAAACCACAATAACATGTATTGTTTTATATATTTAAAGTTTGTTGTAAAGAATATTCTTAACTACCAAAAGTGGCCATATTGATGGAGACAGATGTAGATGTATAAACAGAGAACGCTGATGTGACTCACGGGCAGCTGATGAGCTCTGTCTAACAGAATGAAGAGCAGCGCTGCTGAAGCCACACTCTTGTTCTGGTAGGACTGCGAGCTCTGCATCTGCATAACCTGAAGCACACACAAACACACTCGTTCACAATGAAGTCAGTGCTATATAATCACTGCACAGGCTCATGTGTCTCTGGTTAAACTGACCTGCTCCAGTTTGTCCCGCTGGGTGACGGTGGGCAGCCACTCCACAACCAGATGCACACGGCCATGTTTGATATCATTCAATGTAAACCACTGCAAACCACAAACAGCAGGAGAGAGTCATGTGTGTGTTCTGCTAATTAATGTTGTGAGAAACATAACTCATTAAGCTGAGTGTTTCTTTTAATTTACTGATAATCATTTCAAATATGATGACATATTTTAAACATTGCACAAAATATCATGATAATATAATAGTTAAATATGACATTTTATATATTAATGTCAAACAAAATGTTCTGTTAAGTGAAAAATGCTCACCTCATCATTGTACTGAGATTTGATGATGTCTCCAAGTCTGAGCTTAAATCTGGGCAAACATCAGGAAAATAATGTCATTTATGTTAATTATAGCATCCGAAATACTTTTTAAAAATATATTTTTAATTAACCTTTGAAAATTATTTAGAGATTCTTAATTTCTCTGACGTTTTTGATGTTGAATGTGATGGATTACTTAAAAAAACAGAATAATATAATTTATGATTACTTTTTTTATTACTAATTATTTTTTTGTAATTCTTGTTTAATTCAGTTTATTAAAAGTGATCCATCATCATATATATTATCAAAAGAATCCATAAATTGCATTTAAATTAATATTAAATCAAATCTTTGAACTACATATTACTATTTATTGTTTTATTTAATAAATAAAATAATAAACAACAAACTGAAGACAGTAGTTCAAAAATAATAAGAGAAATATACAGTCGCCTCAAAAATGAATACATAAATGCAAGAATATAAGCCTTTTCTTGAACAATGTTTAATTATGAAAAGGTTTTGTAAATACACCAACCTTCCAAGAAAATCATCAGAATCAACATCTTTATCATAGACCTCGAACTTCACCTCTAGATTAGGATCAGGACTCAGAATCAGCTAGCAAATAAAAAAGACAAATATTACAGTTGAGCTCTTTAAGACACAATAAAATAAAATATAAAGTAAAACAATAGCTATCATAACAACTCATATTCAACTAAACAAACTTCATCGTAATACATTAAATAAAAATTAAAACAAATATTAAGCAATTAAAAATATATAACTTTTGTGACTGGGGCTTAGAGCCATATAATAATATTAAAAATGAGAAACATAACTCGTTAAGCTCTTTTAGTTTACTTCTCCTTTTATTTTACTGAAAATAATTTATCACTATTATATAATAAATATCACTATTGTATAATAAAATAATTAAAATTTAACATAAATGTCTTGCCCATCGCACCTCATACATCTCATTCCAGGTGGGGTTGAGGTTTTCCTTGATCACGTGACTCTTAAATGTTGTGTCTCCGATGTGGATCTTGACATAGGGGTCACTTTTCCCCTTCATCATCCCACCCATCAGACCATCCTTCGCCACCAGATCCTGAGCCTCCAGCAGGTGGAGCCGCAGCAGCCCCTGCAGGACACACAGCGAACAACCACATCTGAAAAATACACTTATGACATGCTGCTTCCTGCAGCCTTAGATTCAATGCAAGACACTGCAGGTGAATATCGTAAAAACAACAACAACTAATAGTTAATTAAGAATTGAGAGCATTTTTGGAGCTTTTCTAAAGTGTTATATTTAAATATACAAATAGGATATTATTTTCTTAAAGGGATAGTTCACCCAAAACTAAACAGTTCGTAATCATTGTCATCTTTACTTGTTCAAACCTGTTTGAGTTTCTTTCTTCCATTGAACAGAAGTTATTTTAAGCTGAACAGTAACCATTGACTTCCATGTAGTTGTTTTTTCTACTTTAAGTGTCAATGGTTGCCGGTTTTTCTTCTTTTGTGATCAATAAAAAGAAAAGCATAAGGGTTTGAAAGCACTCGAGTACGAGTACATTTAAAATTTTCGCTGAACTATCTAAGAGTGCACTAGTTTGCATACATTTGAAGGTCTGAACTTTAAATGAAGTCAGGTTCACAATTGCTACTTTAGTTTTCTGCTATATTAAAGGTTTTTACAGAGGAGATTTTGCAAATCTCTTTCTATCACTTTATAATTTTAAAGATAAAACAGACAGAGAGAAAAACTACATTGTTGCATTATTTTGTGGAATAAAATGTTGCAAATTATCAGGCTTGTGAGTGTGCGTTTTTGACCAAAAAAGTACATTACATAGCAGGTATTTAGTAAAGGTATTTTCGTTTAGTTTTTTTCCCTTTTATTTTATTTGGCATATTTTGAAAACAATACCCGTAGAACACAGATATGAATAAGAGTGCTTTCACATCTGTAGTTCGCTTCATTTGGTCAGCACCAATGGCAATAAATGATACATTGTTGTATTTTCTGCTGTCTTTGGGTCGTTTTCTCACCACACTGCTGGCTTTGGTCCGAACCAGTTGAAAAGAACCAAAATGCAGTCATCTGACAAAATCCTCATCTCCCATTGGCCAGATGTTGTTGAACCTAGTTCCTAAACTGCTTATTGATTGGTCAGAATTCACGTGCGAAAATGCCAATGAACTCCCGCAGGTAAACAAACCGGCAGACCAAGGCCAAGAGGGAAAACGAACTCTAGTGCGATTCAACCAAACTAAATAAGGCAAGTGTGAAAGCACCATAAATTTGTGCAGTTTGGTGTACGTAAAGGTCTTTAAAATATGCAATTGAAATCTACACACATACAAATATATACATTTCAACAAAAGTAACACTTAAATCTCCGTTTGGCTGAAAAAAAAAAACACCTCATGAAAAGCCAAAAAGCCCATAATCTTAAATTTTACCAGTAGTGTCATGTCTTAACTAAATCAGAGGTGATGTTAATCCAAATTTCTAAAAGTAAAACAATAAAAACACTCACCTTGGTGCCAAAGTTGGAGTTGTGGCTCGTCTTTTGGGGTCGAGTGTCTGTAGAACTGGTAACTTTAGTCTCCTCAGCAGGAACACTGGGAGAACTACTCTTGTGAGACCTAAACAACATCAACAGAAAGACGATCACAGCACATGATTATGATTAATAATATTATTCTGTTCATAAATGTTACCTCAGGATTAGCAGAATAAGTTGAAGTCTTTAACTCACGGTTCTGTTGCTTTATCCAGGTGTTGTGGATCTTTATGGGCTGATTCCTTATGTTCAGCAATATTAGTAGTGGAGTCAGGCGCTTTACTGAGATCCTGTAAATGACAAGCAGCAATGCCTTTGATCAACAGATCATTCAAAACAGCTTTTTTAATTTTATATATATGTAGCATATTTAATAAAATATTTAATTATCAAAACATAAATGTGCCTAAATAAAAGTCACCTTACATTCATGTTATTATAATACCGTAATTATTCAATTAGATTTTACAGAAAAAAAGAAACTTAAATGTAACTGATTAATTAAAACCAACATTTGGTCAAGACAGCATAACAAATAACCATATCCATGATACACTTGCAATAAAACATACTTTTAATAAAATGTACTTTAAAAAAAGGATGAATTTTATATTAAAAACATTGAAGACAAAAAAACAGGGGTACATAAATGCAAACATTTGCATATGATACATATCGCTTCCTATATTAAAACAACAACAAAAAATATATGTATACAATTTTATCTGAAATCTATATTTATATTCATATTTTATGTAACATAAAATCAATAATATAAAAATTAAAATAGCAGTGAGTTTATTTAAAAAAATGTTCAATAAAATAATTTAAATATACACATTATTCATTAAAATAAAACGATTAAATGGAAATTAAATAAGTTTTTTATTTTGATTAAATTGTAAAGTTTAGCTTTACACAAACACATGCACACACACACACTAACCTCAGTCGGCATGTGTGTTTTAGGTGTCGAAGGTGTGTGTTGCTCCTCAATGGCGTGAGTTGTTTGTTTCTGATGTTCTTCAGGCAGTGATAAAGGGACTGGAAAAGTAGATGCTGCAAGTTCACTCAACCTGCTGAAGACACAACAACAAACAAACAAACAGATTCAGCTCTCAATCAAACTCAGTTATATGCTCCATATAATATCAGAAATCATAATCAGTCAAACCTTTGCTTTGCTGGCAGTGTTTTCTTCTCCGACTCTTTACTGACTGCAGCGGGTGAATGTTCAGCAGTAGCTGGGCCTTTTTCTTCATGCTCTTCTCCTGTTGAATGATCTTCAACAACGGGCTTCTGACGATGAAAAACACTCAAATCCAGCCTTGAGTCCAAAATCTGGAAAGAAAAAAAAAAAAGTGCAAATTTAGCCGTTCATAAATGGCTTATGGGTTAAACTCACAACTAGCCATGTGGTAATCTTAATATTTCAGGCCCATTTATGATTGTTGTTAACATTTATTACATCTAAAAACTCAAATATATTTTAAAGAAGAGAGTGATATAAATTAGCTATGTATAATTTCAAAATATGAAGTAAATACATAAAGATCTGACTTAAGCTATGTGAATCCTACATAAAACATACCTGTACAAAAGAAAAACAGTAGACAGGCTGAAAGAAAATGCTAAATCATTTTCTACCTGTCAGTGGCTTAAAGCAAAAATAGTTTCTTTGGTTATAGATTTTAACAAGCAGCTGCACTGGTATTTCAAATGCAATATTACAGGATTTACATTATCTCTGGAATACTCGATTCTGATTGTTAAATCATGACCTAAGTTTCAAGTTATGTTATTCTCAGATAACAACTGGTCAAACTAATAACACAGGCTCAAATGATTACGAATCTTGACCGTTAGTAAATATATTCATTGTGGATACACTGAATTTTTGGCTTCTGAAAATGATGTGCTGGAAATGGCATTTCCAGTTTTCAACTGAAACAGAAAAATAGCCGTAAAAATGAGCCTAAGAAGTCTATGCGGCGCCACACTGGCCAGCACAGCAGTGTTCATAGTGCTTGTTTCTCTCTTCCTTCAGCCATAGTCGCTGCACTGTGTGAAGCGGCTTTCACACTAGACGCAGAAATGGAATACTTGATTCTGATCGGTCAGTCGCAACATTCCAAGATATGTTATTCCCAGATAACAACCGTTGTAACTAATAACACAGGCTCATCCGAGTACTTCAATCATCTTAACTGTCAGTGAATATGTTAACCTCCATATTTATGCCTGTCACACTCCACTGTTTTTGACTGCTTGGCACCCTTTTGTGACCGAATAATACTTAGGTTAGTGTATGCTCCATTCAATTCTGTCAGGTGTGCATTTAATTTAAAAAAAATGTTTAATTATTGTAACTCAAAACGATGTTGTGTGTCTAATTTGTCATATAAGGCATGTAATAAGTGGGATAAAGCACATCCCGTTGGTTGTTTTCACAGTATAAAACCATTCAGTCCTACACAACAGCCCTCCGCATTGTATTAGGCTGCCAATACCAGAGATGCTGACTAGAAAAAGCTCATTTTTAAAACATAAAACTTTGAGAGATCGCCTAAACATGCCCAAACAGAAATGCGTACAGCTTTGGTTTATGCTCAGTTTACATATTTTGTACTTTAAAATAGTCGTAACACAGTTTGTATGCCAGTCAGAATCGGAGAACAAAAAAATAGAGAATAAATTAAGAAAATGCTTTGGATCTGCAATTTCTGACCATTTGATGGATACACCTCTAGACACAACATGACATTACCTGCAGAAATGAATGTAACAGACTGAAAGAAGTGAAGTTTATATAAACTGAAAGGACAGGTTGGAGAAAGCGATCAGAAAAAGCTCAGTCTGACCTTGAGTTGAGCTCTGAGAAGAATCTGACTGTCAGCAGCTGCTCCATCCAGACTCAGCCATTGGTCCATCAGCAGGTCTGTTTTAGAAAGCAGCTCTCTGATTGGCAGAACCAGAGAGCCCAGCGGCTGCTCGAATGCACTGGAAAGCTGTGATGGAGAAAAGAGAGAAAAATACATCAAAATACACCGTCAATGATTATTACTGACATTTAGAAGGTTTACTAGGCAGGTTAAGGTAATTAGGCAAGTTATTGTATAACGATGGTTTGTTCTGTAGACTATCAAAGAATATATAGCTTAATAGGGCTAATAATTTTGATCTTAAAATGTTTTTAAAAAAATTAAAAACTGCTTTTATTCTAGTTGAAATAAAGCAGATAAGACTTTCTCTAGAAGATAAAATATTATCAAAAATACTGTGAAAATTTTCTTGCTCTGTTAAACATCATTTGGAAAAAAAAGAAAACAAATATCAAAGGGCGTATAATAATTCACATTTCAACAGTATATCAAGTGATAAGACTAGTTTGGCTCCTGAACTAATTGGTTCCACATGATTTCTCAAATATATACTTAACAGCAACAGTATAAATACCAATAGTTAGATAAGATTTAGGCATTTAAATAAATAAAAATTGTAAAAATCAAATATATTGAAAGCACAAATTTTACATCATATCTCAAACAATATAATTATGAAATACAACTTAAACAGAACTAATATTACTATTGTATTATTCAAATATTAAATCTATGATTAATTTTAAACATTCAATTAAATAATACTTATTACAACAAATGAAATGAAACTAATATTAATTGTCTATTCATTCATAATTATTTTAATTAAACTTGTGATACAATTAAATGTACTTAAGTTCAAACTCCAAATGTATTAATTATAGTTAAATGTAAAATACAAACATTTAAATGGTTTTTAATTACTGGTTTTATTTACATTTTAATTGTATTTAATTACACTAGATTTACATGCATTTATTTTCCAAGACATGATGCCCCAAATATAGACAGTATCTTACACAAAATAAATTTACAATTCTTATCTATCGATTCATATTTTTAAATATTAAATAAAATGAAATACCTATTACAACTATTTAAATAAAACTTATATTTATAATCCATCTATAATTAATTAAACTACATTTTAAATGTAAATTCAGATTTATTATAATACAATTAAATGTACTTAAATTAAAATTCTAAACTGATATTAAGATTAATTCATTATATATTTTAAAACATTTTAATTGGTTTTATTTTATTTTTTCTATATTTTAATTTGCATTAATTATACTACATTTAAATGTAGTTAATTTACAAAACATACTAATGCTCCAGATATGGGGTTACCACTTCACATCAGATTCAAGCACTTCTAAGGACTTTTAAAGCACTATTGATTTTTAAAATCAAGCACCATTGTTCACAATAAAAATGTCAAAGTAACTTTCTGAAATTTAGACCATTTAATAAAAGGTTAAATTCAATACTGGTGATATTCAAATGCAGTTTCTGAAAGATTGATAAAAGATATTTGTCATCAGACAACATTTTTCAATTAAGAATTTCTCAGATTGTTTTCGCTCTGTTTTTGACAGCAGCACATTACAATGGTTGAAAAAACACCATGAACGATTTTTTTTATTTAATTCAAGCACTTTCAAGATCCTGTGTTTGTTTTAAGTACTTTCCAGGCCTTGAATCTATATGTCTGAAATTCAAGCCCTTTCAAAAAGTGTGGGAACCCTGCAGACATAGCATCAAAACTCCATGCATTTTACCTTGATAATAAGAATCTCCTCAGTAGGTTTGTGAACCAGGAAGTGAAAAGCTTCGCTCCACTGAGGAGACATGGATCTCTCACACACCTTTAAGCAGAAATATTTAATTGTAAAGGTCAGAACTGAACACAGAAATAAATCTTTACAAAAAAGTACAGATTTGCACCTTAGTTTTGTGAGTGATGTCTCCTAACACCAGCTCTGCAGCAGCTTTAGGCTCTTTTCCACTCTTCTTCAGCTGCACAAATAAGCACAAGCATCAAATTAAGCAGTAAATTACAGCATTTAAATCAATTATAAATCAAAATGTGTGTGTGTGTGTGTGTGTGTGAGAGAGAGAGACGTACAGGCAGATTATGAGCTCTTTCCAGGAGGATGAAGAACAGAGCAGCCGATGGCACACTTTTGTTCAGGTATGAATGATCTGACTGTAACTGCACAGCCTGAACACACAGAAAATAACTAAATAAGACACTCATTTGATTTGGCATCATAACATCTGTCCCATAATCATATTTATTAAAATAATAATAATAGTAATTTAAATAATAACAATAATGAAATAAAAATAATTTACTAACAAATTACTTTAACTGTAAATGCAAAATGTGTCATTAATTTTATTGTTCAATATATTTAGATGAGTTTATTCAACTAGCTATATTACATAAGTCGCAATTTACAAATATAATTAAAAAGCAAACTATAAAAACAAATTAAATTAAAAAAATATATTTATAATAATAACAATACTTAATAATAATAATAATAATACATAGTACAAATATAAAAAATAATGTTTAAAATAATACATATTTTATATAAACATAATATCAAATCAAATGAAAACTGATCTTGTAAAATTACACACTGTTTTTTTAATGAAAACTTTAATCACTACATTACAATACAATACAATAAAGATTTAATGAAGACCTTTTGCAGTGGGTCAGGTTTTGTCACTGTGTTCAGCCACTCCAGAATCAAATGAACACGACCATGTTTGACGTCACTCAGAGAAAACCACTGACACAGAAAGAAAACAACAACAATTATGAAAGTAAGAGATTACTAAGGAAAGAAACCAGGGATGATTTACTCACTCTGTCAGTGATCTGAGACTGAATGATCTCCTGTAGACTGATCTTCATCCTGTGGACACATCACTTTATTTTAGTATCTCTTAAATAGTTTCTAGTCTGTTTTTTTTTTTTAATCTGATGTATTTTTATTCAATTGTATGATTTTTTTATTATAAAAATCTACTTTATTTATTTATTTATTTATTTTAATTAATTATATATTTTAATTATTTTAGCATACCAAGCTAGGGTAAATAATAAATGAAATATTTTATTGTCATCTAGTTGAAATAAAACAAAATCTTTACACATTTTACTTAGTTTAAAGTTTTTTTTTTTAAGGGTTTAGTTTTGTCATTTTAGTCTTGATTTTAGGTTCTAGATTTTAGTATGATTTGTAACTCTGCTCCAAGTCTCAAACATGTTATAAATTCACTGTAAATTGCATGGGGTTTATTGTTTTTTTGTGTGTATAGTAATACAATTTAATTTAATATTTTGTTAATTTTAATTAACCTTGTATCTATGAACAAATAAATAAATTTATTAAAAAAAAACGCTCATGGTTTTATTGTTATATATTAAATTGTAATATACTGTTATTATACACACACACACACACACACACACACACACACACACACACACACACACACACACACACACACACACACACACACACACAGTTAACCCAATTAATTTTAAACAACCAACCATAACCACATATCTACATACCTCCCTAAAAAGTCATCTTTGTCCATATCCTTGTCGAAAACCTCTACGAGCACTTCAGAAGAGGAGCTGGAGGTCAGAACCAGCTGGAAAACACATTGATTACATGATATTCCATTTCAAACCATTTTTAACATCAACCTCCATAAACCTGCAGTCCTGAGCGCACCTCATACATCTCATTCCAGGTGGGGTTGAGGTTCTCCTTGATTACGTGACTCTTAAATGTTGTGTCACCGATGTGGATCTTAACATACGGGTCACTTTTCCCCTTCACCATCCCACCCATCAGACCATCCTTCGCCACCAGATCTTGAGCCTCCAGCAGGATGAGCCGCAGAACACCCTGAAAACATCACAACACCTCACTGCTATGCTGGAAAGAGGGCCATTATATATTGTTTTTAATAATATTGCAATGATTGTATTAAGTGCTTCCATACTTCATTTAGAGCCATTTTCCCAATATATATTTTATGCATGTATTACGGTGTAAAAAGTCTGGACACTACTATAGTTTTTTGTTTATATTATTTTATTAATTAGACATGGCATATTTAAATAATAACATTTAAGCAAGAGTGCTCATGTGAAAATGCAAATGTAATAATTATTCAATAATAATAATAGTTATAATATAATATATATATATATATATATATATATATATATATATATATATATATATAGTAAATAAACAATTTACATTACATTTTAGAATACATTGACGTCTGATATTTTCTGTTTTGCCAATGAAAAAAGTTCCAAAAAAGACAAAGCAGAATATTTGTGCATCTTAGAGCAACATTGCGATATTTAATTCCTAAATTAATCAGTTTTTAAGCAAATCATTGAGTAAATGATTCAATAATCCCTTCACAAAGACTTGCTTGCTGTACTTCGAAATGAATCAGCCATTTTGAACGAATCATTTGAACAAATAAAGCACTCATTAGGACAGGAATTAGTCGCCACCTACTATTGTTGTGTATATATATAATATATATAAAGAAATACTGTTTAACTATAATAAACAAAATTCTGCAAAATGACTGAAAAGTTGTTTTCACCAAAATCGCACCCTGATTATCAACAGTCTGACATCTATTTATCCATGATCTAAAAATCGAATGTAATTTATTTATAAAGCACTTCTCACCTCTGTACCAAAGCTGGGGTCAGGGCTGGTGTGCAGGGGTCGAAGGTCATCTGAACTGGAGACTTGTGTGACCTCTGGTGCCTCCTCTTCTTCTGGGACAGAAACTGAGGACGTCCTGCTGACGGGAGATGGAGGAACCTCCTCAATACTAGACCTGAAAAGCCAAGAACACACACACATACGTCAAAGTGAAATAGCTTATGTTTATTTTTACCATCATGTAGCCAAAAAAAGTGAGTGACAGACTGACTCCGCCCTCAAGCCAGTAAACACCAATCAGAAGCAAGATATCATTGAAGAGGAAAGGGAGGAGAAAATGTCACATAAATTAAAAAAAATTGATGACAAGCACAGATTCTTATCAACAAACACCCCAATATTCCAGCTGTGTCCATTTTGATTCAATATTGAGTAAATATAGACTTCTGGAAGAGATTTTAAGTTTTAAAGAATAGATTTACAAGTGAGCTATTGTACTGTGCAGATTTATTTAGTTCAATTCTACAAGAGGTTTAAGTGCTTATTAAATATGGTCTGGATGAAAAACTTCTCTCACTTCTGCATGAGCTCCTCTTGTTGTTTTCTTCTGATGCTGGACTCTTCATGATGTTTGGGCTCCTCATGCTGCTCCTCTGAGCTCTCCATCTTTTTAGGGCAAAGAATCTATAACAAAGATAAAAGCACATCAAGTACACAACACTTCATCAGAAAAGTTCATGCAAATGTGATCGATCATGATGGAACCATATTCATGTCTTTTAAAAAGAATTGGGGGAAATGTATTAGAATGTACAAGCGACGATAAATACGATATTTATAATATTTCTTGAGCAAAAACGGGAATGATTTCTAAAGGTTAATGTGACACTGAAGAAAGATGCCATAACGCTAAAAAATCTGCTTCACAAATAAAAACATCTTAAAATATATTTAAATAGAACCTTTTTTATTTATAAGTTTATTATAATTTGTTTAAGATTTTTCTTTACTTTATTTTTTTGAGACTTTTGAACTGTATGTATTTATGTTATTTTCATAACTGATTTTTTTCTATTTCTCCTGAGAAAATTTAGGATAAAAAGCCTAAAGTTGATGTTTTGAAATGAATAAATTACATGTTTATATTAAAAATATTAAAATAGTTACTAAAGATTGTAATAATATTTAACACCATTACTCTTATTACTGCAGCTATGGAAAAACTTGAGAGATTATATTGCTTATTAATAGTAATACTGTTAATAATTATTAATAACGTTCTGTATTAATTAATAGTTTACTCTCTGAATTACTTATTAGATTTCTTCCAAACAAATAATAATAATACAATAAAATCACAGACGATTTTTGACATGAAATTAAATGGTTTTTAGATTTAGGCAACATAATCACAATGTTTTAATTTATGATGAGTTAAGTGAATATTCGTTGGAACTTTCTATCACAACAGATTAAATATTTTCTAAATATAAAACGCTCTCAATTACAATAATGTTACTTGAAATTTGGAAGAAATATTATCAAACCTATCAAAACAAATATTTAAATTTTACTCAAATCAGTACCTGATAAATCAAGCAAAGAAAATTTCCTCTTAATTTATATCATACTTGCACATTGTTTTATTTTAAAAAGTGTAACCTGGTTGAGAAAACCTTTCTGATTTATTGTAGCTTTCCTTAACAAATAAGCTTTGTGTGACTAAAAGCTCAACATTTTACTTGATGGTTAAATGGCAAAATCCAAGATGCAAAACAAACAGATGCTGTACTTTCAGCTGAGCTCTGAGCAGAATCTGACTCTGAGGTGAAGCTCCGTCCAGATCCAGCCACTGGTCCAGCAGCAGATCCGGCTCAGAGAGAAGCTCTTTGATAGGAATCACCACAGACCCCACGGAAAAATCCCAGTTATGGGACAACTGAAAAGAGGCAAAATATTATGTAGAAAGTTCAGATGAGATGGTAAAGTGTGCTGAAATGATGTGCTGTTGTTTGCATTGTCTTACCTTCACAATAAGGTCTTCATTCAAAGGGTCTCGAACCAGAAAGTAAAACGCTTCATCCCATTTAGGAGTGCTGGTGCGATCACACACCTACAGCGCACATCCGACAGGGAAATTATTGACAGAATAACAATCAGAATCAGTACATTCCCACTACTGCTCTCAAAAAACTATTTATTTAAATTATTATTAAATTATTTAAAAAAAACTTTTATTTTTTAGAGCAATAGTTGGTGTGTGCTGATTTCAGTTTAATCTGCATATAATAATTTGGATAAAAAGAAGTCAGTCTTCACATCCTAAAAACCTTAAGCTGGTACTTGGACCAAATTAAACAGAATAATAAACAAAGAGATACTGCCACTGTTAAGGTTTTTGCACACTGCAGTCTGAAATTTTCGTGAGCTTTTTTTACTTTGTATCTATATACGAAAAATTCGGCAAATAAAACCTTGCAAAACCGAGTCCGATGCGTATTAATCCATAACGAAAAAACGCACAACATTTGGGAATCAATTCAAGCAGTGATGTTTTGATCTCCTCTCTTCTACAAAATAGAAAAGAGGAATAGGCTACATATTCTGTTAACCTAATACTGCATAAATTATTATCAAAGAGCTGTGCTGGATTATTCCTAAATGCAAAGTGTATTTCAAGAAATAAGTGAAATTTTGATACAATGCTTGTGATAATTCACACATTCAAGTACATAAACAAATCCTGAACAGAGACTGGCAGTACCATAGACATTAATAGATGGAGGTCACGTTGATGTATCGGAGCAACAAAGCGATGTGCACCATGAGTCGTCTAGCTTTCTATTATAATGTGTATAGGCACATTACATCAAAGGTATAGATACACGCACACACACAGACCAAATCAGCAGCAGGGGACAGTTGCGCCAATCACTGAACCAAGCATAGGGGTTGTCAACTGTGTGCCACATTCTGTCTTAATTATGTGCTGTTTGTCAAAGTTATCAATGCTGATGGCTCAAGTGACAGCATTCACTCCGCTTATACCGTGGCTCTGAACTGTCAAAACACCTCTCAATACGTATTTTCAGATGTAAAAAATGAAAAATAATAATAATTAAAAAAAAAAAAATCAAACCTGATTAAACTTTTTTTATGACACCCATAAGTTTTAGGGGCGGTGTGTCGATACGATTGACACAATGTGAGTTCGAAATAATTTTTTACTAGCGAAAATTACAGACAAAAATTTCAGATTCAGTGTGCAATAACCTTTACTCGAAAAACAAAAACAGATTTTCTTTTTTTTTTTTGAGAGAGAGAGAGAGAGAGAGAGAGAGAGAGAGAGAGAGAGAGAGAGAAACAGTGGACGTGTGCTGAATTTTCTTTGTTATTCTTTTTAATTAGCTCAAAGTTTCTTCAGGAACTGTGCACACTGACTTCATTATTGTCATTAAAATGATTTGCTGCCATAAAACTCTAAAAATAGATGCACCAATAAAAAAATTAAAAGATTCTCACCGTTGTTTTTCGAGATGTTCCTCCTAAGACCAGCTCAGCTCCAACTTTAGGCTCCTTCCCGCTCTTCTTGAGCTAATTAAAAAGAGAAAATAAGACATCTGTTGCAGATGTTTCAGACATGCTTCATTTAAGAATCTACTCAGGGATTTTCATCCACAAATTCAACAGGAATATATACAGTATATCTTCAACAGTTTAGAGTCCAAAAGAGTTTTAATGTCTCCGAAAACTAATTAAAATACATTACAACTGTGAATTAGTGAAATATTATAGCAATTTAAAATAATTATCCATTTCTTATCCAATCTTAAAGGAATAGTTTACCCCTAAAATTTAAATTCTCACCATTTGTTCACTCTTAATTTGTTTCCAACTTTTAGAAGTTGCTTTTTAAAGCTGAAGACGACAAATGTTGGTAAAAGTAAAAAATAATAATAATAATAATAACTTAAAAAAAACTGTAGGGGTCCACAATGACTTTCACAGTAGGAAAATAAATATGATGAGTCAATGAGGACCAACAATAGTTTGATCACCTATGTCCACCAAAATATCTACTGTTCATCAGAAGAAATATGTTAGGAATATGAGTAATTTATGAATAAACGGTCATTCTTGTGTGAACTATCCCTTTTTAATGCCACATGCTCCTTTAGAAGTTATTCAAATATTATAACTTGGTGTTGAAAAAAATGTGTTATTATGATGAGTTGTTAAATATAGGCTCTTTTGGGTACATTTTGGTCAAATAAAAATAATTTGTAAATGTCTACTTTCATATTTGATAAATGAAAGAAAATAACCTTGTTTTGACTTTGAAATAACAGTATTCTGCTTATAATTTAGGCAGATTATTTTGCTTGTTTTAAGGAAAAACTCACTTAATCTTGCCACACTATTTCTGAAAGCAAGACAAATTTTTTAGTCATCTAGAAAATGCTGCTTGATTTAAGAATTTCTAGATAATTGGACTAAAATAAGCCTTTTCTGCAGTATTTGAAACTGAGGTCTCTCGCCTGAGGTTCTCAGTCTTCATTAGCTCTCTATATAATCTCATTGCAGCCTAGTAGAATAAATGAGCTATTTAAAGAGCTAACATTAGTGTTAATACTCACAGGAAGCTCATATGCTTGCTCCACATACACAAACAGGAGAGCTGCAGACGGCACTGCCTTATTCAGAAATGAGCTCTTTGACTGGAAATGCAGCACCTGTTGAACAAGTCAACCAGTTAGTTTCATCAACGTATATTCAGACAGAGGTTAGTTTAGGAAGACAGACGGCTCTCTCACCTGCTGTAGTTTCTCTGGTTTAGTTACAGTGGGAAGCCACTCCAGAGCGAGGTGAACACGACCACGCTTTACATCGCTCAGAGAAAACCACTGACACACAAACACAGCCATGCATGAGAATCTCTGCGCTTAATTTATCCTTATATGGTATCACTTTACTTGAAGAGGTGTTCAAAAGACTGCCTTTAAACCTTTATAATCATGACAAGACACATGAATGTGAATTTATACATGCTTATAACAACTGGCATTAAGTGACATTTGCTAAGTTGACATTGTTTGTTGTGCATGACACAATTTTAATAGACATGTTTATGACAGATTTATGAAAAATTATGTTGTAATGTCAAGTTGTTATAATTTATTATAATATTGTTTTTATTTATTATATATTGTTTTTTGTAATCATTTTTTTATTTGTTTTTATTTTTCTTATACTTGTTTCTTTTATTCTTGTTTATGTAAAGCACTTTGAATTGCCACTGTGTATGAAATGTGCTATATAAATGAACTTGCCTTGCCTTATAACAAAGATGAAGCAAATACAAGTTGGCAATGTCATCTTTGCATTTCAAATGACATAACAGAGGAAATGACACTTATTAACAGCTGTTATACGCATGTTGTCATGACGTGCGATGTCACGATTATAAAGGTTTCATGACACCCCCATGTCTTATGAACACCCCTTCAAGTAAAGTGTTACCCTTATATTTGACTCAAGCACACACACTGCTCACCTCATTAATGTACTGAGAGCTGATGATGTCACTCAGACTCATCTTCAGCCTAAGGAAAATAATACATGGCTGAATAATGCTAAACATAATCAATAGAAGAGTTATAATGCAATACATTAGAAGAAGCCTTCATACCTGCCCATAAAGTCATCTTTCATATCCATGTCCTTATCAAAAACTTCTAACGTGAGCTCTTGACCCGGAAGCTCCGTCAAAACCACCTTAAGGATGATAATGGGAAGTATTGTCACAATTTAAATAAGTGTAGAATTTGCAGCATAAACTAAAATGTATATTGGCTACTATTAAATTACAAAATAAATGCAAACAATATGTAAATAGCTATATATATAGCTAAATATATATATATATATATACACATATACATA